GTAATTAATATGTAAAAATACACTTTCAAATGATAAACATTTTATTGTCATTTTAAACGTTCGAGAATTTATCATGAGTTTATAAGTCAACAGATACAGAAGCTGAAGTCTTTGAATACAGCTAAATTAAAGCTCTAAGGACTTCATGGTGGATAMAAATTGCTTTTMCGAATCTTTCAGAAGGACATGTTTACTGTAGACACGGGGATACAGGAAGACCCGCGACAGGCCCCGCGGGAGGAATGATCAACCATTTATACAATAGGTTSCTGGCCCATGGGAATCGAATTTTTCACCAAAAAAATCGACTGCATAACGTTTGGACACTCCGTTTGTGTAAAATCCGTATAYATTAATCAGTCAAACGTACCGAGGTAAACGGTCCATCAAAAAGTAAGTATTTCAGTAATACTTATTCATATTTTCAATGCTTTTTAACAATTAATAATGATAACCCTCAAAGCCATATTTRATAATCAACAAAATTCATTTAATATTTAACTGAATTTAATTACAAGGTGAAATAAACTTAAACCAGTAAAGGTGTGGGCACAAAAAAGGCTCCATAAGATAAGGAGGACAGGCAAGGGGAGGAGGAGGGCGTTGGAACGAACTGAAAGGAGTGCCGTGCCAGAATGCTTGGGCACAGGGTGGTGTATTTAACAAATAGATCTCATTTTTCCGTGCGTGTGTACTCTAATAGATACACAGATGACGTCAAAATGTAGTGAGAACAAAAAAGTACGCACGAGACGCAGTCGAGTGCGTGACTGTTGTTCTCACTACATTTTGACGTCATCTGTGTATCTATTAGAGTACACACGCACGGAAAAATGAGATCTATCTGTTTTATACAACAAACAATTAGTTTTGACGTAATCCGTGTATCTATACTTTTATAACACACGAAAGCCAACCAATCAAAACGTCTGATTTTACTGAAAAGTTGTATAAATATGGATAGTAAATTTTGCTGTTTGCTGTTTACAAGGTACAAATTTTTCGTGACTACGAAAATGAGTAAAACTAMTGGTATCGCTGAGCATGCCTCGTGGGTACTTGACTTATGAGCCGTACGTATATGGCATAAATAACTTTATAACAGGTTAAGTGCTAGAGTATGACAAACGATTAATGTAGCGGCCCAGTTACCGAAGAGACCTGCTTATAAAGCGGTTCATAATCTTATAATCAGTAAAGCGGCATTAAACTTGTTACGAGGCGCTATGCTGAGATTTAAGATGACCTTAAAATATAGGAAAATATTTAGCTGAACTTTAAACATTACAAGTGGATTAGTTACGAGATGCCATTCTGACATTTTGTAGGACTTTTGGTAATAGCAAAGTAAACGTTACAAGTGGATTAGGGAAGGCCAAGGCTAGGTATGGGTGGTCGCGCCTGGAACGAAGATCGGCCAGGATCGGGAGTCGCCGTAGTTCACGCGACCAACCATGCCCAGCCTGGCAAATAGCATGAATCACGAATAATGGTAAAATATAGATGTTTCAAGAAAGTATTTGTAGATATACTTTTATATTGGAGAGCTATATGTGGTACCATCAGCCAGGGGCACATCCCTCACGGGATGCCACAAAACCATACAAAACCAACCATTCCCAGAAAGTTCTAATCCCAGGAAAAGGAAAGGATTGGCTTCAAATTGGTGTGGGGTAAATTTTAATACCCCAGGTTAAACCCAAACACTGTCTGATTGTAGCACATATAAGCCGAACAGATTTGTAGAAGAAGTTAGAATAGAATCGAATGGAATTGAAGTTARCACTGAGATGACAATAAAAGAACCAAAGAACACAGAATATTGAATCCACGGCTCCTAACAAACTGAACATAAAAATCCTATTTGTCCCAAATATTATATTTTTTGATATAGATTTAAAAAAATCTATATTGTAACTTTTTTCGTAATTTAATTCTGTAATATACTTAGCMTATTCCTTTTGTAATGTAATGTTTGTTTTTTACTATAATTTTTTCCTTTGTAGTTTGTTCCTACTAGCTATTTTTTCTTTATGTGTGGCAGCGATGATGTCATTGAAATGAATCAATTTTTTAGAAAATTCTCATTGGTAATTATTGTTAAGCTCACAGTGTGTGCGCCTTGTTTAAATAGTTTTTCAGCTGTTAATACATGTTTGATTTTTCTAATTATAACTGATTTACTTTAAAAGAAAATGAATAGTAAACAATGAGACGTTTATTACTGAATGAAAATACTCTCTTTATGCAGAACGTATCTCACTTGTGTTAGGGCTGGTCCCTCAAGGCTTAAGTGCTTCACTAGTAGTTTTAAGTGAATGGTCAATGAACAAAGCTAACTGCAGATTAAGGTCAGTAAGCCATAAAGCGATTATGTACCTTTGAGGGTGTCGATGAGTTTTACCTGATAACTTACCCCGGCACAGCTTTTTCGTCMGTACTTAATGTATAATTCAGGGAAACTAGAGCGGTTGTTCCAATTTCAGCTGGGTCAATATGTAAACATTTAAAATAAGAAGAACCATCCCTTCCTCGTGAGGGCACAATAGAACAGCGATTCGTTTCACGGTATTCACGGAAAAACTCCTTGATATATATTTGTTGTACCTTGATCTTAAGGAGATTCTAAACTGCATTTTAAAAGATGTCAAAAATATTTTGATCCCTAATTTGACACACAAAAAACACAAGATTCGGTTAAGGAAAACTATAACTATAACTTTTCGATTCCTCTACAACTGTTGTATACGATAAACGCGTTTAAATTTGAAATAATTACAAACCGGCAGTAGCGCGCTGAACAATTTCTCACAAAGCGGAACAATTTTTCAACTTTTGTAAAAAGTAAAACGGAAGGCATTAAAAAGGCAAAAAGAAGACTAATCAAACAGAACACTTTTTATCATGCCCCAATTCCTTGATTAATTTGGCTATTTACAAAKCAAGAGTTACAAAGCAAGAGGGAATCCATGAAAACATAAATGCTGCATTTTTCGATCGGACCCAGTCAACATCAGTGATTCTATTTTAGCGATCACATCCTTTCAGTGTTATCGTAAGGGCGAATGCGCCTTCACATGCTGGCATCTCGGATCGAAATCGTGGATTAGTTCTGCGGACCAGAAGTTAGAGAAATTTAAATTATTCAATGGAGAAGGACACCATCAGGATATTTCGTAGTTGCGTTCAAAGTAATTGCTTTTTCCACAACTCAGGATATGCACTATAACTACAATATTTTAAGTTTTTGATAAATATTTATCCGATAGAATACTTCATGATCAATTGATCTCAATTTGCAGTGCCAAGATACTTGAACACCATCTAGTWGCAGCATGTTTGTCGACGCCATAGTTTTACTTGTCTTGTTGGTTGTGTTCATCACATACCTGAAACAAAGGAAAACCAAACTGCGCTCACCTCCAGGCCCCTATCCGTACCCAATACTCGGTAATTTTCCACATTTAGGGCCTGTGCTCCACACCTCACTAACTGAATTAAGCAAGAGATTTGATGACGGATTATTTCAGCTTCATTTGATGGGTAAAAACATTGTTGTTATCAACAAAGGAAGTCTTGCCAAACACGTGATTATATCTGAAGGAAGCAACGTAGGCGATAGAACGACTGCRCATGTCATCGACGTCATGACCAGAAATGGATGTAGTGTTATATTTGGAAAGTATGGTCCCACATGGAAGAATCAACGAAAAATWATCCACTCAGGGTTGAGGTACTTTAAAAAAGATATCAACAAACTTATTATGAACGAAACGACAATCTTGATTGAAAACATCAAGAGAACCAATCAAAAACCCTTTGACCCCAAATTACCCATAACACTTTGTGTCATGAATATTATTTGTTTTCTAACATACGGTCAGCGGTATGATCTAGAAGACGAGGAATTTCTTCAAATYATCAGAAATGCGGAGGAACTATCAGAGATTGCGTCACCAAAGAATCCACTTATCTTGTTGCCATGGCTGCGGTATTTTCCTTTTCAGATGGTTAAACATATGAAWGATGTCATCAAGGAGAGGGATGACGTCATCAAGAGGAAGGTTTGTCAGCATGTCGACAGCTACAAGGAAGGAGTGATAAGAGATCTAACCGATTACATGTTGAAATCAATGGACAATTCAAGTTCTTTGACAAAAGATCACTTAGAAATGGCAGTGAGTGATGTCTTTCTTGCTGGCTTTGAAACAACAACAACAACTTTACGATGGATTCTGCTGTATCTTGTACTCTACCCTGAAGTTCAAGCAAAAATTCATCAAGAAATGGATGAYGTGATGTCTAACTTGCAGACAACAGCTATAGARGAATCGAAATTRCCTTTTCTAGAAGCAACCATCAAAGAAGTCATGCGCATTAGCCCTGTCTTCCCATTAATWAGACGCAAAGCTACCAGCGACYTCAAGATAAAAGGATATGATATTCCAAGAGGGACGTTTGTTTATGTAAACTCATGGGCCATTCACCATGACCCTGATGACTGGGAGAACCCCAATGAATTTAGACCCGAGAGGTTCCTAGACAAAGATAACAAGGACGGCTGTGTGCTCCCATTCGGTGCTGGAGTCAGGGTCTGCRTTGGGAAATCTTTGGCCAAGTCAGAATTATTTCTAATAGTCTCTTGTCTTCTTCAGCATTTTAAGTTTGTCCTTCCAGAGAATGGTGAGCTGCCGAGCACGAATGGTGTAGCGAGTACGGTGTATTGGCCAAAGCCTTTCAAGGTGTGTGCAATAGAACGACTTCATCGCTAGGAGACGACGCTGGCTTACATTAGTGACAAACTTTCGCAGACATAACAAGCAGTAGTTGACGTCCACTACTTCAATACTATATATTTTATATATTACCAATACTACAGCCTTTTGCACAAATTATGAGACATTTTTATATATATAAATATACCTAACCAAATATCAAAATCACCCAAGAAATTATGGGATACCGTCGCTGATATTTTGTCTGTAACAACCTGATGCTAGGCAATCATGACAAAATATAATAGAGATATACCATAATTTCTGGGGTGTTTTTGATATTTGGTTAGGTATATTTATATATATAAAAATGTCTCATAATTTGTGCAAAAGGCTGTATGTTGCATGGGTGCATTATATGTTACATGAACAATGTTGACGTTTTCATATCCCTTCCTTTTTTCTGTTCTTTCTTCGATTTTCTTGTTGTTTATGATAAAGGAAGGTCATCATTGTCGAATCATATTATTGAATCATTTCAACCACAGGTTACCCAGACTCAATAACTAAGTATAAAGTACTGTCGTACTCACAATATTTTTGTTGTCCTTATAAATAATATTGTTATAACGTAAATAAAACGTCTCTTACCTTCCTGCGTACGTTTATGCGACATACTTCATTGTTAGTTATATTGAGCCTGGGTTACCTGTGTCTCTACATGCATGTGCGCATCCAAATTGAACATGTTATAAATTGAATTCCATGAAAGGGTTAGGTATAAGTATTCTTTTTTTTCCACTACCTTACTCAATGAAATATGTCTTTTCTGATGAATTACTTATTCAATTCTATTTTAATACGGCGGACATTTTTTTTGTATGAAATCATGCATAAAGATGCATTTAGCATGAATTTATGGGCGTTTTTGTAACTATGACGTTCCCAAATCTTGACAATGCATAAATGCRCAGATCAATTGTCTGTTTTGTAGTTACTGCGGCCATCTTGTTTTTTTGTAAGAATAKATTTGAAAAAGAAAAAAAGATTTTCAAATATTTCTTATTGAATGAATGCATAAAGATTTTTGAACAATAATAATCTGTGCCTTGTACGCTTTTTTTATTCTTTTATGAATTCTTTTATGAAAGTGAATTGTCTGAAAAGTCTCGCCTACAAATTCGGTAAATTTCACTCTGATATTCAAAATGGGAACTGTATTGATAAAAAATTGCATGGAAATGAGTCTAAATCCGGTTTTAACACAGTATGCGGAAGATATMRRARRMCYYTTTCTATTCMCTGCAACAAAGCAAAGCTGAGGCTTTTGGAGATTCCCAATGTCAATCTCATGTCAAAGTCATATTAATCTTTAATAATACAAAATGATTATAACAGCATGGAGTACTTTAAAATGCGTATTTAAACAGCGCAATATATTTTTCAATGAAATCCGCCATTTCAACGTTCCTAATACATAATATTTCCTAAGTAGATCCACTGGAATAAACCAAACTGACTRCAAAAAGAGAGCTAAGATTGCATGTTTAAATGTTAATCACAACAGCTTTCTAAACGAAACCTAGTCTAATACTAAAAGTCTTAGCTGTTATAATTATAGGGTAAATCAATTCTTCAAAACAGCCAATTAGATTGCCTCCATTTGACATGTTAAAACGCAATGTAAACGATAGATTCTGTAATATTCATTGTAAACCAATATAGCATTTATCCAAGACGCTTCCCTCTCACAAAATTCTTACTACTCAAAATGGTAAGTGATTATATAATCCAATTCTTGCTACTTTAATTGTTTTCCATTTTCATAAGTATTAATGCAGAATATAAAATGTCTTGGAGTGAATAGAAATAATTATTGTGTTGTTAATAAAGACAAATATTCCTGCTTTTCGTTTCGCTTTATTCATTTTGAGTATAAATAAAACAACTCTAGTTTTGCTTTTAATATAAGGAATGAAATAAGTTCTCTTTCTTCTAGCAACTTTTTGGGTGTCCCAGAATCATCCCACTGCATGTATTAGCGACAGAATAGTTTAATAACGTGAAATTCCCGATATTTTAATATAACGGTACACCTACTTGCAGAAAACGCTGTCATAGAAAATAGAACATTTGAATTTAGTAAAAAGGAATAAAGTAAAGCAAGACAAAGGGAAACGTTCAGCCTCATTGATCTTCTTTTGTTTTTTGTTTTTTAATTTATTCCTTTTTACTAAATACAAATTTCCTATTTTTTAGTGACAAGGTTTTCGCAAGTAGGTGTATATCTCCRTTTTTCTTCCGATGTTTCCTAAAGGTGGCCCGTTTTAATAGATCTATTTAAGAGTTCCTACGGAAATGCTTTATTTGTGTATCTGTCACTTCAAACTATTAAAAGTGTTTTCGATTTGTTGATTTAAGGAGAGTCGAGGTWATTATAAATGAATTTGCCGGACATGATTAAATATCACAAAAATAGAACGTCTTTAGAAGGACAGTAGATCATTATATGGAAATGAAACTGTATTTCTAGAGCTTCACACGAGGCAAAATCGAGCTRAATATTATTRTCAAAAACTTTATTCAATTTCTTTTTATCAGCGGCTCTTAAGCAAAAATGTTGTGSAAAAAAATTATGGTTTGTTATTATCARAGTAACGTGACCAATCGAGGGTACAACGGAGAATAGACCGCTGAAGCTTGTACGGTATACGCAATGCATTGTAGAATACGTTTGGGACGAACATGGCGGATTTCTTTTGTTTTCTCTAGAAACAGATCCCACAATGCACTGTAATTCAAGTTGTGACGTAAAAGTTTAGAAATCATCTCGTGTGCCTGCGTATTCTAGTCCCAGACCCTTTTTATCTCTCCTCTTAGATATTGTCCACGGGGAAAAAGGGTCAAGAAGACATTGAATGGAAATGCACTACATCATCGGTACCGGACTAGYACCTGCGGTTCATATTTTGAACCAATCAGAAAGCAACTTTCAACAACAGATATTATTCAACACAAAACAGACGAATTCTATTCTAAAGCATTGGAATTTTTATAAAATTACTTCCAGCTTTTAAGAAAAGTATTGATAAGTGTAAAAAACTATATAAAAATCGTATTTTTAAAGCATGCACCGATGTTACGGCTTGATTAATTMACACGCGGAACCCATCGGTCAGTTTGAATTGATGGTCGAATATGCTTTAAAAAGTACATTTCCATCCGTTCAGTCCGTTAGCTTCAAGAAGAAGGTCATACAATGTTTTTCAATTCAGTGAAAATCAATTCAGGTTTATATACACCTACTTGCGAAAACGTTGTCATAAAAAAATAGGACATTTGTATTTTAGTAAAAAGAAATAAATTATAAAGACAAAAGAAGGTCACTGAGGCTGAACGCTTTCTTTTGTTTTGTCTTAATTTATTCCTTTTTACTAAATTCGAATGTTCTATTTTCTATGACAACGTTTCTGCAAGTAGGTGTATACATTTTTGGTGACATTGTATTCCATGCTTGATTAAAACACATACAGAAATGAAGATCGGCGTCCAGCAGGGATAACTATAATAACTGGCGATAGGGACTTGAAGTCCGCTACAGAAGCCTATTAAACGAGCAGTTCTGTTTCTTAGTTTTCAACTGTTTTATTTTATTTTTAGTTTGAACGTTTAATTCTTCTTACTTGTTAGTAGTAGCAACAGCTGGAAAATCCGAAAATATGCCATTACATTTCACACAATTAAAAAAAAACAGAATACGGCCCATTCATCATCAAAAACAATGACTTCTTTTCAACTTTGAAATAGGCTGACATATCATCTATATATATGGGAAGCTATATATATTTTTAATAAGCGTAAAAACAAAGAAAAAAACTTTAATGTCTTCACTTCTGCATTAACCATGCATCGAAGGCAAATTGTTAATAACATGTTAACAAAAGAGTAGTAGTTATGATGTACCTCATGAATCCTAGAAACGCTCATCACTTAACATACTACATAAAACCATCGCTGAAATATCTCCCGGAGGCTTTGAATTTTAGTTAAACTTCATTTTGAATGAAAGACGACTCTTTTGAGCACAAAGTCAATAGCTGGTTCGAGTAGTTTGCGGGATCATTCCTAATTTGAAACTAAATGCATGTGGCTTCTTCTTTACAGTCGGAAAACCTGACTGAAACAGAAATTGCAGGTCAGTATATACATCGCTATTGTTGTCAATTCCTTCATCATGTCGTCCTTTACTCACCAGCTTCTCCTTGAGCTTCTTCTTCGTCACTATCGTACGATATTTAAGCTTCTTTAAAGGTTTTTCATCCTTACATTTTATTATTATTTATTTATTTAGTGAATCAAGAGATATAGCTCTCCGGCCATCCCTTCTTAAGAATGTTTGTCAAAGTATTTTTTGTTCACAAGCTCTTCTGCTCCGGCTTCTTCGACTCCTTTGCTTTAGTCTGCTTCTCACTTTCTTTGGCATTCTCCGCATGATACTTAGTTCTTCTTCTTCTTCTTCTTCTTCTTCTTCTTCTTCTTCTTCTTCTTCTTCTTCTTCTTCTTCTTCTTCACCGAATCATTTGATTATTATTTCTTTTTTACCTGCTATTAATTTCGTAAATATGGTAATCCAATATGCAAAACGTGCACTGTAATTATAAGACTCTAGTACAGAACCAATTGCAAATCACTTGACCGTAGAGTTTGTGAGCTAATCAATATGCATAATTTCCATGCTTGCTCTAAATGAATGTTTCGCAACTGATTTATGTACCACCTATTGTTTGATTTGACGACCCTCATGTTTTTTTCACGTCTACTGTAAACGTCAAACGTCAAATTGGCTTTTATGCTTTGTCTCAAAATAGTCTCCTTCACAGTTACCTGAGCTATGTTGAAAGGTAGACGTGCTCAACGGTCGTTTCGCTTCCATGCAAAGGACGGATCCCTTTCAACATGGCGCAGGTAACCGTGAAGGGCGCTGTATTTCAAACAAAGGAATAGTGATGCACTTATGTACGAAAAAAAGAAACTGATTTATACATCGCGAAAGAACGGATCGTTAATAAAGAAAAACAGTGATCACGTGATCAGTTTTGACGTTTGGCGTTCGCCGTGTAAACGCGTATCTAAAACTCTCTTTTAATAAGTTGAAATTTTCTATAACAAGCGTATCTCGTTGGGGAGAGGAAACACACGAGAAAATGTTTTGGGTCTTTTGAGTGTGTTTCAAATGCCAAGCGTGCGTTTATCAGAGTATAAACCACACTCAGGTTGAGCCTTATTTACTTGTTTTATTATAGATTTCGAGCAAAAATCTTTTTTGAGCACAATCGTGGTTTATACTCTCATAAACCACAATTTTTGGGTCAATCAGAGCGGGAGTTAGAATTCATTTATAATAATATAAAATATATAATAATATATACAGCTGTTTGCAATAATTCTGACCCCCTCTGCCATATTTCATATATATCAAACTGACCTTAAATATTATGAGATATCATGACGGATATATTTTTTGAGTTGTCCAGAATGAGTACTTTCTCAAAAAAAAAATCATCATTGGTATCCCATAATTTCTAAGGCTACTTTGATATATATGAATATTAGTGTAGGGGGGTCAGAATTATTGCAAACAGCTGTATAATAAATATATAATAAAATAAGTTGAAATTTTCTATAAGAAGCCGTATCTCGCTGGTGCATTCAGATGTGGGAAGTGGCAATTTATCTGGATTGTCTGTCTGTTTGAGACCTTTTAATATTGTCTTCTTATTAATTTGTGTTTCTTTTATGGCAATTTTTGTGGAGTGTATCCCCTCTTTGGTTCGATACCTGACTAACACAGCTGTTTAAAAAATATCAATAAAAAAAAGAAAAAAAGAAAGAAAGAAAAAAAAACGGTTTATGGGTAAAAGTCCATGAACTGGGAAATTAGAGGTGATTGGAAGAACAACCGACACATKATGTGTGACAAAAATTTCCAAATCACGTTAATTTAATTATGCATGCATGTGACGTAGATTTTTGCATCTCACATTGTTTTCCATCATCGCGGGGCCATACAACCTTCAAGTTCAAAATCAATCCAGCCGCGTCGTATCTGGGATGCTGCTGACAACTTTCAATGTTTGTCTTCGAATTCTTAAAAAGAGAATAGAAGTCGTTTTTTGGTAAAAAAATATGTCATAGGTCGACGACAAATTGACACTATCTAGAAGGTGTTGTTATGCCTAATTTGTCAGTTCATTGATTTTTACCCAGAAACCTGTTCGGGTGGGCCTCGTGCTACGTGGTCCGATTGACTACCGGAATACGTAAGAAAGGAGACTAATACAAGGTTGGGATTAACTCTTTTAGCATACAAAGAAGCGTTCAGCGTTTTTGATAAGAATGACGACGGTACTGTGACCGTGAGCGAACTGGATACCGTGATGAGGACTGTTGGCGTCAATCCTTCTGAAGAACAGCTGCAAGAAATGATTAATGATGCTGATCTGGATGGTATATGACTATATCAACCTCGTTCCAAGGCCCYAAAGGGATAAGGCCTGGGAACGAGGTTGGSACTATATGTAACTCTCTTTCTTTGCACTARATATCAAAGTATGACTGCATAGTTCCTATATAGAAACCAGAGAGGGCCAGTGGAGTAGAGTCTGTCGTACGACTCCATATATGGTTTTACATGTTCACTGCACTGATGTACACATAGCCAGGCTCTCATGTCTCAAACCATTGAACCGAGGCGCCAATGTACAGTGAGCATAAAAGAAAGGATCTTTGTTTCTTGTTGCCTCGGTTCGATGCTTTGCTTGTGAACCTTAGCATGGAAAGTCTTGAATTGAACTGAAAAATGAACTACTACCAGAAACTACTTATTYACACACTTATGTTAAATCTGTTCCTGAGAATTGCGATGCAGTAAAGTCTTAGAGCGGATTTCGTATGAGTGGGACACTGTTACCTCACGGTTACCGCACAGATACCGTACCTGGACTACACAATTTTGGTGAACCAATGGGGCACTAGAATTTGGTTACAGTACGATTACCGTCACAGTACAGTACCGTCCGCTTCCCACTTATACGAAATCCGCTTAAATCTGTTTATTTCCCGCCTGTGGCACAAAAGAATCAAGACGACGCGTCGTGCGTAAAGCTCAGTCAATACTCCAGTTTCGAATTCAAAGCGAATAACCGCTGTTTTATTTGACAGCAGATTCTCTTACGCAAAGAACTTACCAAACACAAAAGAAAGCACGAGAAAATGTTGCTTGTACAATAGCGGTAACAATTCACATTTTCCCCGAGTTGAGGCTAACCCTGTATTCCCAGAAGGCTCATACCTTAGGTCTTATGGGAATACAGGGTTAGTCTCAACTCGGGGAAAATGCAAATTTTCAAGTCTATTGTAATAACGACATTTTCTCGTGCTCTCTTTTGTGTTTGGTAAGGTCTTTGCGCAAGAGAATCTGTTGTCAAATGAAGCAGCGGTTTTGCGCTATGAATTCGAAACTGGAGTATTGTGAAAAACTATTGTCTTTCACGAATGACTGAGCTTTATGTACGGAGCCTTGTCTTGATTCCTTTGTCTGTGACTAGTGAGGTAAAATTCGCAAGTGGGCTATTGATTTTAATGTTCTCTTTTGTTTTTAGGCAACGGTTGTGTAGACTTCACTGAATTTCTTCACATGATGTCCAAAACCAAAAGTGACATGGAAGACAACACGGAGAAAGAGATCTACGAAGCGTTTTGCGTGTTTGATAAAGATGACAGCGGTTTCATCACTGATGAGGAACTGCGCATGGTCCTAGAAAGCTTGGGAAAAGAATC